AAAAATTGCCATTTTTGTTTTATTTTTGCCCAAACTTTTGAGTGCTCGTAGCAAGTGCTACGAAAATGCTACGAGATTTCTGTTGATGAGAAAAACAAAGCGTTTTATAAAGCTATTTTAGAAGGACATAACATGCTGGCAACGCAGTTAACGACTTGTTCCAGACTTACGACAGAATTCACAATATTTATATTGGAAAAATATTGAAGCAAGTCAAGGGACTGAATATTAGAATAAAATACAGCCAATAGCTGGATAAAAATGAAGTATGCTCCCTATCATCTATCATGATTGCATTTATGTAAATATATTCTTTTGTTAGGTGCCACATAGCAAACGCGCATAAATAAGTGGTTTTGACGACACATCGTATATAAGTAATACTAATTTTGGCTTACGGTCCAGTTTGTAATTTATTAACACTTTTTCTTTACGATGAAGCCTAGACTGTAAACTGTTTGTATACCTATTACAAATAAATAAAACTGAGATTTGTTAGTAAACATGTATCAAATAATACGGTTGGAACTCCAAGCGAGCTTAGATGTATCGGATTGTGGGAATTCTATCAGGCTTCTGAAAATACAATTCGAATGCGAATCGAATAACACGTCATGCAGCTGCACGTCTAGCGCCGTGGGAATAAGCCTTGTCTAGTTCGCTCGCTCCACGGCTTATCACCAGGTAGTGTTCCAGAAAATAGAGAAAATATAAATCCTATACCTTTTAAGGATGGGATTTCACATTGAATAACAAGAAGGTATTTCGAGACTAGCGCCCGTATTCACAAACGATGCTTGCTTAGGTGAAGCAGCAAATTGAACGCATAGCGTTGAATAGAGTTCTGTGATTGGTTCGTGTGTCACCATGTGCGTCTACACGCACTGTGAGACCTCATAGCCATAGTAATGTTTGTGAATACACGCGTAAAAGAAGTTAAAAAAAAGAAGCACTTGGAAATAGTTAAAAGCCTTTTCAATAAGACAAAAACTACTTTAGCAGGTTTTCTTATATTCGAGAAATCTGAGCGATATTTATAGATGAAGAGATAAGGCTTTAATATTTTGAAGATAATCACATTATGTATAAGCCCAGATAAAAGATCTGAATATTAAATAAGTTATGGCTTTTATTTATTCGAAGACAAAACCGGATAGTATTCCTTGGGGTATTCTCGGATTCGCGTTTGGGTTGAAAAATGTATTTTATGAAAATCTACGACTAAGAATTTACGCGGCTCTTTATGTTTTAATTTCATGAATTTTCCTTTCAACCTTTTTGAAGGATGTTGCGAGATTTGTCCACGTTTTGGAATTACGCAGCATTATCTTGTACAAATCTCGCAAATTAATTCAATCGCTCAGGGTCCGGGAGAAAGCCCATGCCATACAGTTCAGCCAGGTCAAAAACATTTTCAATTTCGTATGTTCTTATCCAGTTACCAATAGTTTGTTAGTTACAAAATTCATGGCGTCGTTAACAATAAATTATTTTCCTCTATTTTAGTACTTCTGAAAAGTAATCGGCCGATCGTCTAGTCGGTATATCGCCGTAAAGGACGCGATTGCTAACACTCGCGAACCTTAAATTTTCTTCAAAGCTAAACACTAAATTAATTAAGTAAGAAATTAATTCTCTTTATTTTAGTAGCCGTGAAAAGTTATGCCATCTGGCCGTACCTAATCGGTATTGTATCTTGTCATAAGCGACGATCTGCTGAACTGCTAAAATAATTAAAAGTGGAAACATTTCTGTATGAAACATAAAATCATTAAAAAAAACTAGACTAATCATCGGAAGTAATAAGTAATAACCCCCTCAAATTACTATGTGCTGGTTGTCCTCCCCGGGCATCGAAGCGGGCGCGAGGGGTCGTTTGCGCAACTAATTTGGTCGCGATGCTATCGCGCATCCATCACTCGCCCGAATTAATCAATGCCAGCAATTTATGTTGGGCCCACTGGACTTATTTGGAGGTTACAGTTCTCCGGTAAAGGATGTACCTAGTAGTTAATGAGATGGTTTCGGATAGGTAAGATTAAGTTGGGGTAGATAGACTGAATTAAGAGACTTTTCTAATGTGCGACACAGCTATAATAAATTACTAACGTGGTTGACTGGTAGAGAATGCCACTCGTCATTAAGTCCGCCACTGTACATTTACTGTACTTTTATATGCAAAAGTGTAAATAAATAAATTAAAGAGTAAAAATTTGCATTTGTCCTAAATTAGTGAATGTAGATGCAATGTGAAGAGCACGTAGCGATAAGCTCATGAAACAGGCGATAGTAAAGAAAAGTTTATAACAAGGAAGCTTTTTGTTACGTCTAGAAACTAACAACTTATTATGTCATCCAGTTACAATACTTTCAACTAGAATTTTAGTCAAGTCTCGCTTCAAAATAACTCAGGATTACAAAGTCTCCAATTAGGTGAAACTAAGCCGAGCGAGCTCTTAACTATCCCGTGCACTTTGCGCCATCCTATCCCATAAATTGGCAACTTTATACCGTTACCAGGTATTTTATACCGGTACGGTATCGCCACACTCGAACAGAGACAGTAACCTCACTGAAGCAGAATGCAATAAATTCAAGGCTTAACTCCTCCAAGAAACATCATTTTAGTCCAGAAAACCCACCTACTTTTCACTTTATTGGAAAGAAATTATTAAGTAAAAACTTTAAAGATTCCTATTGCTTTACAAAATCAAAGGGGAAACTGAGACTTGGCAGGACATAAAAAGCATGTAAATGTATTAAAATAAGATGCAACAGTGTTTTTATCTGTTAGCTTTAATCTTTCATACACTTAGTTTTAAAGGAGATTTCTGCATCCATTTACACTGCGATACCGTTGTGAAAAGCTGTCGGCATCCGCTTTAGAGTGGTTACGTGGAAAGTACCGAGCAAGCGAGGAAATCCCCTGAAATGTTGCGACAGCATGGGCTAGGGACGGGACAGCAATCATATCGAGAGATATTGTTATTGAAACAATTTTAAACGTCTCTATTTACCGTGTTCCTTACGAGATATAAGTGTAAATGTAGTAATTTTATGGATCCAAAGTATTTGATTTAACCTATCCAAAAATAGTTACCTAGATACCAAGGCGATTTTAATTAAACATAAGAATATGTAGGATGTAGGTTTAAATACAAAAACAACTCTATTTGAAAATAAATTAAACTGTTCCATTTCTATTATGAAACATCGATGGTTAAACAAACTGCACTAAGCCAATTCAGCAAAGCTTCATGCAACGGATATTGCCACTATATTGTTTCTCCACCCACCTAATCTCCCTAGAAATAAGTAAAGAAGTTGCTCAAAATATCTAGTTATTTTTATCAGTCTCTAGATACGTTTATAAGCCCGTTACTATAATCTGCTCTAAAGGTATCGAACCAGCACTTTAGGGACTTAATATTTAATAATGCTAGATGAAAAACAAAGTAACATGATGATAATGTAAGCTTTTCGTACTTTAGGTTCAAAGAAAAAGAAAATTGTTAATAAAGACTGGTGTATTTTTAGTCTTAAAAGATTTAAAAAATAGAGACGAGGTATGATATTACACACAAATATGAATCTTCATGCCAAGGGCAAATTGGTCGAATAGAATCTTGAGCGTCTTTAAGTATATCATAGTTTGAAATATCACATCTCTTTAGTCAGCACAAATGAAACAAAATCTATATTTTTAAGTAATAGCATAGGTACATTGGATTTAAACACCTTTTAAACTGACTGCTGATAAGTCACCTTTACAAATAACAAATTGGATGTACCAAACTGCTGAACCTTCCCATTCCCAGCCGGATATTGGCACTAGATCTTAATTCACCCGGGCACTTTACACCCGGTACTCGGTATCCGGTATTACGCGCCCGGGTAGCTCAGTAAACAGCCGGTTGTCCGAAAGATTGGGACTTATTGGCCTTTAGCTCAGATAAACCTTGGTAAGACGATCGGAGTTTTTCAATTTGAGCCGTATTGTAAAAGTTAATTCGGTTTTGCTTTCAGGAAGGCTTTGGTTTGTGGAAGAAAAGAGCTAGATAAAACACCTTAGCACCTACTAAAGCTTTTATCTTTTTTGTTTCCTATTTTCATTTATTTATGAATACTCGTTTGATAGTAGTGAAAGGTCTGCCAATTTGTTACGTTTTCACGCTGTTTTGTTATAGAGATAGATGGGAAATTTTGTTGCTATTAAAACTCAGGTAAAAAGCTGCGAACGTTTGTAAAAAACCCATGGTTTATCTTGGCTAGGGATTTAGGTTTTCACTTGAAATTAAATGTTTTTAGTTTTTCTCAGACCGAAACATACGTAAGTGAAATCTCAGACAGAAGCTAGCTCAGACAGCGTAACGACAACTAATAAAGACTGTAATCTGGGACAGACTAAAGTATCTAATCTGCGTGCGATTAAAATATACGAAATACAGGTTCATGTTACAGTGTCTTATTAGGTATGTAAAATTGACAAGAGAGTCTAAATACCTACATAGTTGGAACTTGTGGGAAGACCGAAACATACGTAAGTGAAATATCAGACAGAAGCTAGCTCAGACAGCGTAACGACAACTAATAAAGACTGTAATCTGGGACAGTCTAAAGTACCTAATCTGCGTGCGATTAAAATATACGAAATACAGGTTCATGTTACAGTGTCTTATTAGGTATGTAACATTGACAAGAGTCTAAATACCTAGTTGGAACTTATGGGCTATGCTTCTAGGCATAAGGATCTACTAAAGCAGTGATGGCCAAGAGGTCGCCCGCGGTCTACCGGTCGACCGCGAAGACGATTTTGGTAGCCCACGAGAGTTAAACAAACTGCACAGAATGATTAAAAATGAAAAATGATTTATTTCACTCTTCTAAACTGTACCTTGCAGTCGACTGCAAGAAATATTTTCGAGTAGGTATAAGTAGACCTTACAGGTCAAAAGTTTGGCCAACACTGTACTAAAGTAACGTTTCTTTCACAGCGGAGTCGCTGCTGTCGCTGCCGAAGAGATGGCTCAGCACACAGGGCTTCGGTACAGAGGACGAGGAGTTCCAGGTACCAGTTATTTTAAACTTTACACAACATTATCCCGAATTGCGCCAAGCCTTGGGCCCGGCAGAAACGAGACAAGACGAGAGAAGATATAGGAGAGGGAAAGCTGGTTATTTCCACCAAAGCGTTACATTTTTGTGAAATTCTGACTATTGTTTTGGGGTGGTAAACACGATATCTATCGTTCAACTAAAATGTCTTCCCCAGAACGTCCAGCTGCCCAAGCTGCCGGTACCAGACCTGCAGGAGACACTGGACACGTACCTGGAGCTGGCGGCGGTGGTGGTGAGCGGCCAGCAGCTGGAGACCAGCCGTGCTGTCGTGCGCGGCTTCATGGAAGAGCTGGGGCCAAGGCTGCAGGAGGCGCTACTCGACCGGCAGCGGGAGATGGATAACTGGGTGAGACTCAGAAAAGTAGTGTAGGGCCACACCCGCAGGAGGCGCTGGTTACTGTCTGAGCTGGCGGCGGTGGTGATGAGCCGTCAGCAGCTAGAGACCAGCTGGGCCGTAGGAGCTCAGGCCGAGGCTGGAGGAGGCGCTGCTCGACCGGCAGCGGAAGATGGATAACTGGGTGAGACTCAAAAAAGTAGAGTAGGATCACACTTGCAGGAGGCGCTGGTTACTGACTGAGCTGGCGGCGGTGGTGATGAGCCGTCAGCAGCTAGAGACCAGCTGGGTCGTAACAGTTCAGGCCGAGGCTGGAGGAGGCGCTGCTCGACCGGCAGCGGAAGATGGATTACTGGGTGAGACTCAGAAAAGTAGTGTAAGGCCACACCCGCAGGAGGCGCTGGTTACTGTCTGAGCTGGCGGCGGTGGTGATGAGCCGTCAGCAGCTAGAGACCAGCTGGGTCGTAGGAGCTCAGGCCGAGGCTGGAGGAGGCGCTGCTCGACCGGCAGCGGAAGATGGATAACTGGGTGAGACTCAAAAAAGTAGAGTAGGATCACACTTGCAGGAGGCGCTGGATACTGTCTGAGCTGGCGGTGGTGGTGAGCGGTCAGCAACTGCATACCAGCCGTGCTGTCGTGAGCGGCTTCATGGAGGAGCTCAGGCCAAGGCTGCAAGAGGCGCGGCTCGACCGGCAGCGGGAGATGGTTAACTGGCATAACTGGGTAAGATGCCGGTGGATGTCATAAGGGCGACAAAATATGCGTACACCAGGCACCAGGCCTCTTTAATAGGTCATCATTAAGGTTTTAGGCCGTGAGGTTTCAAAAAAGTAGAATAGGAGCACAAGGACCAATGGACGACAAAGAATATCTGGGTGAGATCTTGAAGACTTATTTTTTAATAATAAGACTTATAACTAGTCTAAAAAAGAGTTTTTTACTTGAGCTGTGACAATATCAAATCTCGTGCAAAATCAAAGATGTTTGATTTTATACGAGTTCGGTCAAGTATTTTGGTCAAACAAGCGTTATCGCTGCCTAACGATGAAAGTTTTCGTTCCGATAGCTGCAGCTCAAAACAATGGTGTAAGAACTATTGTTTCTTCCATTATAACGCCACACAGTCGATACATGCAACATGAAATTAAAAAATGAACACGTAACTGCTTTAAAATGATAAGTGGCAAGGTTTATGTTTTATTATTCCATCTGATAATCGCAACAAATGGTTCTACAACAGTGAATAACACAGCAGTGCGCAGTGCCAGTGACAGTCTCATTTTGATGAAAATATTACAATCAGTGGACGCTGCAACCAGTGATGAGCATTTGTTCGATGTGACGTTAAAATTACTAAACAGTTTATGTATGTGTATGCACGAGACGTTAAAAGACAATGAAAGAAAAAAGTCCTTTCACGGTGACACTAACTCTTTACAAATCGATGATGAGTCACAAGAATCCGACGGAAAAGTTCTTGATTTGTATACTAATATATACAACAATACATGTTTAAACTTGAAACTTGAACTTGCTACAAAACTAAATAGAATGCACGATACTTTATTGGGACATGATAACTTGATGAAAAATTCTAATTGTGGAAAGAAAATGGATATTACTACAGAAAAAGTGGTTCAAATGAGTACTAATATGTTACCAATTATTCAGAGTGACGTCAATTCTAAACTCAAACAGTTATTATTCGAAACCCTTATTCAGACTCAGTCATACCACAAGTATTATATCAAAAGATACAACTTATTCCAAAAATCGAAACTTCCATCCACTTTGGACAACTCGAGACACAGTATCATAGTTATTATAACACTGCGTTCTAATAAAAACAATATCAATAAGTCTAACGAAGATTCTCCGACTATTTCGGATAAAGAGTTAAATGAAACACTTTACACAAAATCACCAGTGGATATTGATATAATAGATACAAAGTATGGTTCAGATGTAAAAGAAAGCACTGAGAATATGAAAATGACTATAGCTTCTGAATGCAACTTACAGTCAATATATTTTTTTCTGACTGAAACCGAAAAAAGGAATTTTACCAAGGTATTCAAAGTGCTAAAACGAAAAGGGATGATAAAAATTTACATAGATGTTAGAACGATGAGACATCACGGTGACTATAGTAGAATATGTTGTGGGGATCGAGGTAAAACAATATGTAATATTGATTTTATACGTGATGACGATGTGAGCGAAGAGGAAACAAAGATACAAAATAAAACCAAAGCTCCATCGTTGATAGACACTATTTCCAGAATAAAAACATTAGTAAGCATGTACGACGAAAATGTAAAACAAAATAAAATTACCACTTCAGGTATTGGTGAAATAAATACTTATTCCACTATTCGCAACCAAGAACTCACAGAACAAATAAAACAAGAAAGCATTACTGACGAAAATAAACAAAAGATCAAAGACAACATGATGCTTCTTAATCCATTTTTACCTTCAGAATACAAGAAATTATCAGCTGCGTTTGATAAAACATTGAACAAATCTGGAACACAGATGATGTCAAATAATAATTTATTATCAAAAAACTCAAAACGTCAAGATGAGCGGTCAGATGTACCTAGTGTATCTGCAACGACTAATAATAAGCTAGAAACCATTACGGATAGTTATTATCACGAAAATAAAATATTAACTTTAGAAAATACTACACACAATTATGACTACACTAAGCCTCTTAACATGATCGATAGTACTAATAACTTACTCTCACGTGGGATATTAGACATTTCAGCTGGAAATGAACAAGTTTACGAAACGAACACTATTGATTATAATGATGCTTTTACAACGTCACCGATAGTTGAAAATGTTTTAAAGAAAGATATTTATGTTAGAAATCCTACAACGAAACTATTTGAATCAACGGAAGAAAATACAACAAGCATGACGTCAACTCCATATTATGATGTTTTACAAAGTGTTAATACACCATTGACGGCCAAAATAACCAAAATTAACAAAATCGGGATGACGTCCCAACCGACATTAAATACCAATCCCAAGATAACACTTACTGAGGATTTACAAAGTTCTACTTCATCGACTAGAAAATATACCAGAATCTTTTTAGAAACCAGTTCAAAGCAAACTGTGGAAGTTAAAAACCCAGTAATTCAGGAAAAAAAAAGTGGCCTTATATTCACACCTAGTCTAAATGATGACAATGAAAGAAACTCTGACAAATTAAATTCAAATAATCAGGAAGATACTACGAAATTATCGGATAAAAATATATTTCACAAGTCTGAAAAACCATATTCCACTGATTTGCAGATTGCTAGGGAACATTTTGATAAAAATAAGAATTTATCTCCATTTGAAAACAACGTCGAATTGAGTCCACCAACTCAGAATTTTCAAACAACTTCTTACCAGAATAGTAATTTAATAGCAGATAAAACAAATGAGAACAAAGAGGAAGTAAATATGTATGCCCCAATTGCTAGTGAAAATAATGCAGTACACGCGGTATCAGCGATTATTGAGATCAAAAATGCTAGTAAGCAAAAAGAAAATAATATAAATAAATATACAACCTTTCATTTACTTCAACCAATAGGTAATAAAAGTACAACACGTCAAAACATAAGCAATTCTGTTGCAAGAGATATATCTAGTACAACATCACTAAAAGAAACGAAAACGTTCGCAGTTTCGACAGAAAATAAAATAACAACGCAAGACACGTCATTTCAAGAAGTAACCAATGAGAGATACGAAACTAATGTAGCTAGTAATAAACCAAGTAGCAATAAACAGTTCATATTACGAGAAAATGAAGAATATCTAATAGAAGAAGACAAAAAGAACACAGATTTGACCACAAATGTTATGTTGCAAAAAACACCCGAGCAGAATGTTGATCAATATCTACTCAAACAAAAACCACTCGACTTAACCGCACCTGTTGGCTCAGACAGTTATGATAAAAGCATCAAATTGAAAGGTACTCAGAATTTAGACAACAAATCTAGTTGGGTTGGGAGAAATGAAGAAATAAAAACTTCCGCAAAACAAAAGAATAAAGATAAATTAACTAATTTTGTTATGACAGGAAAACCAACAGAACAGTCACTTCAAACTCCAATATTTAAATATAAAAAGTGGGTGAAAACTAGAAATAATAGTGAACAAAACAGTACAATCAAATATGATTTAGATATGATTTTAATGTCAACTTATAATACCCCTGAAGATTTTGTTAAGACAAACGATCAACGTTCACATTCAACGGCAGCGAATACAGAAAACCTCCAAGATTTATTGAATTCAATTACAGTATGGTATAATACGAACTTAAGTACAACAGCTATTGAAAATATTGCCGTATTTACGACGCCAATTCAACGAGAAATTGAAGTTAATAAAGAAAAATTATACAGCAACGATCAGCCTATTACAAAAGTAATAACCAACAAGCAATTACCTGAAATTAGGATGCCAATTACTTATTTTTTAAATAAAAATAACAATCTGATTTTGACAACGACTAATGCTTTAACTAGTGATAATTACTTTGCTACTGATAAACAGCAAACAAAAAAAGATATGACTAAAACACGCAGCTACCCCAACATTAATCCAATCACATTAACACCTAAAGATAATAATATTGTGTTAGAGAGGCCTATTCAACAGGAATTTAATACTGTTGTATATCAAAAAACCAATTTTGTGACAGCGAATGATATCAAAACAACTGAGAAGAATATTTTTGCAAAAAAAAATCAAGAAAAATATAAAGGTCCTTATTTTTCTGCCGATATGAAACAAATAATAAGTACTGATTTTTATTTACCTTCGAGTTTAGAAAGTAATCATAATGTAAATATCGAAACAAAACTTGAAAGCCAAAATAATCTTGAGGACAAAAATGAAAAAAATACTTTACCCTCTTCAAAAAGGAAAGAAGAAATCGCATTTTTTAAAGTAAATAAGGTGAATTTAGAGAAAGACATTCAACCAGC